CCGCCGCCTACAGCGTCCCTTCGGCCCCGCCCCCGCCCAGCGCGCCAATCAGACGCCGCGCTACCCGCGCGCGTCACCGCCGGGACGGCCGCGTTCCCGCCCCTTGGCCCAAGTTTGGGAAAGGCCGAACCCCTACCCTCCCGCCAGTCGGCGCCCAGTCCCCGCGGGGCTCTCCGCCCCCCGGTGCACCTAGAAAACCCTAGGCGCCACTGGGGAGCCGCAGCTCCAAAGACGCGCTCCCCCGCCCCAAGAAGTAGCCTGCCCCAGAAAGACAGCAGCGACAGAGTCTCCAACTCAGGGTCTAGTCCAAACCCCTCCGCTACCGGGGCCTCTCCGTGCTGTCGGCGGGGCGCTCGGTGAGAGTTTTCAGGGCCTTTTCCGGCCAGGGCCGGCGTGTGGCTAGGCCTAGACGGCTCCGTGTGGTTGGTGAGAGGGTTCCACCTTGGGAGATGAGGAGAGGGAAAGCTGGACCCCCGTGGACCTGACCTTTGCTCTCAGCGCACCCGGTACCTGCAGTCACCTAGCTGCTCAAAGCCTAAGGACGGTGCCTGTTCGGCGCCTTCGGGTCAAAAACATGGGTTTTCCACGTGGTTCCACTCGTGCGTCAGAAAGCCAGGAATGTAAGATGGGGGGGCGCCCGCACCGTGACGCCAAGAGCTGGGTGCAGCCTGCCATCTCAACGCGGACACCCCGCCTCCCGTAACGCTACCGGGGTGGGCACTAGCCACACCCACGCGCAGAGCGCACTGCACCCACGGTGCTCGCCCCTGACCCAGCGCCTCCGCAGGCTCCCCAAAGCGCTGCATGCCTAGGTGAGGCCCCGGGGAAGCCGGCGAGACCGGATGGTGAAGTTGCTCTAGTTTACAAGGCTGGGGTGGGCCTGCCTGGCCGGTATGCCCAGAGCACCGAGTCCCGCCCCGCCCCGCTCCGCTCGGGGCCCTCCTGGCAGCGCCCCTTCCGTCCTTATCGCCGAGGCCTTAGAACGACCCTCTGGAGTTAATCCCGCTGAGAAATTAACACTCCACACCTGTTTGATTCTTTGCAGAAGGCTGTCAGGCGGGGTTAGCCAAAGGGAAGCCATTGAATTTCGAGCGCTGGGGGTTGGATTTCAGCCCGCTGGACGCTGGACCACCGAGCGCGTACTCTGAGCGAAACTCAGCAGCCTAAAGAAGTGCGAGTTGTTTTGGATGCGTCGAGCCACGTGAATGGGGTCACCAAAAAGGAATTCTGAGTCGGTGGCTCTGGAAATGTTAAGATTGGCAGTCTCCAGACCAAACTGTTTTTTATGTTGGTCACGATTCTCTGAAGAGCGACGTGAAGTCCAGGCAACAAGTTGGATTTTTGTCTCCTCACACAAACTGTTAACCACTGTCACCCGGGGCAAGAAAGGAAGGGAAATTGTATACCTTCCCGGGGTTTTTCTTTTTGAGCGTTTTTCCCCCCACGATTTTATTCATAATTCGGAAAGCTAATAAAACATTTTAAAAGAACTAAATTAGAAGTTAGGTCTATGTATTTGATTAGCTGAAGGCCGCTGTTTTGATATTTAAATGCTGTGAGGAGACAAAGCTGGATTATTTCCCACCATCAGATGTTACTGTTTTCCCTTAAATGTGCTTCCAGTAGCCACCGACGTGCTTTCCAGGATTGCTAGCCAGAGTTTTGAGTCAAGTCAGCTGGCAGGCACCAGGGAAGGAAAGCTTGCGCCTTCCACAGCCGCCAAAAGCTGCCGGGCCCTGAAGTTCAAAACGAGATGGAAAGCATTCTCTCCGGGGTGCCACTGAGGACAGCTGGAAGTGTGCCGTGCGCCGTCCACAGTGTGACTGGGGAGACAGCTCAGCGCTGCATTCCACGCCCACTTCGCTGTTGTGCTTGCTCTTACAGTTAGGACTGGGGTTCAGCATCCGTAGGCAGAGAGAGACATTCGTCAAGTGCACTGCCCAACGTAGGTGCAAGCACAGGGCGCGGACTAGGGCATTAAACATGGCACTTTCTCTTGGAGCTCACAGCCCCCCCTGGAGAGGTGCTTAATAATTCAATGTACTAAAACTATTTAATTACAATTTTGATATGGACCAAAGGAAGTGTAAGCACAGAATCATTTGGGGAGTCCAAGTAAAGTGTCTTTAAGCGGGTTTGTTTTTGTTTTTGTTTTTGCTATGATAACACCATGACCAAAAGCAGCTTGAGAAGAAAGAGGCGATTTGACTTACAATTCATCAACAAGGGAAACTGAGGCAGAAACTGATACAGTTGGAGGACCCCTGCTTGGTCCCCGTGGCTTGCTCAGTCTGCTTTTTTACACCACCTAGGATTACCTGTCTGGGGTGGCACCACCCCAGACAGGCTGGGCCATTTCATATCAGGCATTAATCATGTGCTAGAGACTGGCTTACAGGCCATCTGGTGAAGGCATTTCTCAACTGAGGTTCCTCTTCTGAGATTGTTGTTTTTTCTCTTTTGGGGGCCCGCTACCCAGCTCCCAAATAAACCACACACGGAGGCTTATTCTTATATATAAATGCCCGGCCTTAGCTTGGTTTGTTTTTTGCCAGCTTTTCTTAACTTAAATTATCCCATCTACCTTTTGCCTCTGGGCTTTTACCTTTTCTTACTTCTTTCTATACTTACTTTCACTCTTACTCTGTGGCGGGGTGGCAGGTAGGTGGGTAGGTAGGTAGGTGGCTGGCTGGCTGGCTGGCAGGGTGGCTGGCCCCTGCTGTCCTCCTCTCCTTGTCTTCCTCCTTGCTCCTTCTTTCTCCCAGATTTCTCCTATATATTCTCTCTGCCTGCGAGCCCTGCCTATCCTTCTCCTGCCTTGCTATTGGCCAGTTCTTTATTAGACCATCAGGTGTTTTACATGGTCACAGTAACACAGCTTCACAGAGTTAAACAAATGCAACATAAAAGAATGCAACACATCTTTGCATCATTAAAACAAATGTTCCACAGCATAAACAAATGTAACGTATCTTAAAATAATATTCTACGTTCCCCCCTTTTGTCTAAGTAAAAATGAAATATTTAATTTTAATATAGTAAAACTATATACAACAAAAGCAGTTATCAAGTAAGACTTACATTTAGAATATTATGTCCATTTGTAATTATCATATTTAGAGAAAATAACACATTATCTATCCTATCTTAGTGAGTCCAAAATCTTAGACCTAACTTACTTTCTAACATAACTAAGGAAAAGTGCAAATATAACTATCTAGTCTTCAACTCCATCAAAGACCCAGAGGATGTAATATTATCTAACAACAAAGACATTTGGCTGCCTAGACAGTCACCCAAGATTCCTCTGCAATGTTGGGGCATCCATCTTCAGCCTACAGGCCCAGAATATCTGGCCTAGCCATGCAGATTAACAGTTTAAAATCTCTCCTGGGCCAGGCAGTGGTGGCACACACCTTTAATCCCAGCACTTGGGAGGCAGAGGCAGGTTATCTCTGTGATTTCGAGGCCAGCCTGGGCTACAGAGTGAGTTCCATGAAAGGCACAAAAGCTACACAGAGGGCAGGGGGACCTTTCCTGGTCAGAGAAGAATTATAGATTCACAATAAGAGAGATTCAGATGAAATAAAACTCTAAACTGTTTACAATGTGTGTAAAAATGTACTTAGGCTTGAAAGAGAGAGAAAAGGAATATATGCAGTTATATAAAGAAATAATTTTAAAAATAAAGTCTTTAAAGAGATAGTAAAGTAATATTAAAGTTAAGCCACACATAATGAAGATTACACAGAGTCTGAATTGTGCTGTCTTTGGGATTTTAACTGGAGAGACATTTGATTGTAAAGGTTGCTGAGTTAAACCTATATATATATATATATATATATATATATATATATATATAGATAGATATAGATATAGATATATAGATATATTTTAAAGGTATCTTGACTTCAAAATTTGGGTCTAAGGATATAGATATATTGCTTTGGAAAGGAGGCTCTGATTTTGTTTCCATAGGAAGCAAGAGGCTATGGATTTATTCCAGGTTAAGATGGATCAGATTTGATCAATCGAGACCTCCTGAACTTTAACAGAGGGTACCTATCAATAAAGATTTTGGCCAGTCTTTCCAGGACTTGACCATTATCTTAAATTTTCTCAAGATCCCCATAAGATTAACAGCAGCCCCAACCATCAGAAAGTAATATGAGAAGCTATGCCCAAATTCCCAAAATATTGTTTATAAATGTTTATTTTTATTTGAAGGGGGTTGATTATAAATGCAATCTCTTTCTAAAGAAGAAAGGGGGATATTATAGATATTATTGCATGAAAGGGTAGATTATTGAATCTACTTTTAAAGAGCAACAACTTGTTTAAAATGTTTTATATTATTATGCATTATGATTTATTGATGCAAATTTAAAGTTGATTTTGTTATACTGTATATATTTCTACTCCTGTTTGGGGTATTATGTTTGTGCAGCTCATTTGAAATTGTAATGTATAGTTAAGAAATACAAATTAATTGTCAAATTTATAGTCATGTTAAGTTTTTTAGGTATACAAAGATATATTTCAATTAGGAAGGTAATCTTCAAACACTTCAAAAACATACAGAATATGGCATTTAAAATGTTTTAAAAACTTAGACTTTCTGGACAATGAGACACATCTGCTCCTGGCAGCACCAATTTACTTCAAAGAAGATGATGGGCATCAAAAAACTCCATATGGAGTTTGCTTTCCTTATGGCAAAAGTTAGCCATTTGGGCAAGAAACTGTTCTTGCCTGGACTGCTTGACAAAATGTTGTATCAACTGGACATGCAGGACCCATGGAAAAATGACCACTAAATTTTGCCAAAACAAGCCGAGATGGTCCTTCAGGTTCCTGCTTCATAGAGGAAACTTCCAGACATTCTGCAGGACACAGGGAGAAATGACTGTGAGACTCTAGACCTATGGGCTGAAGATGGATGCCCCAACATTTCAGAGGAACTTTGGGTGATTGTCCAGGCAGCGAGCTGTCTCTGTCATTCTAGATTTTTGGAAGTTGCTTACAATGCACTCCCTGTTTACTTAGGTAATAGTGTATCCTTCTGGGGTCTTTGATGTAGTTGAAGACTAAATAGTTATCATTTTCTTTGGTTATGATAAAAGATAAATTAGATATGAAACTTTAGATGCATGAATATAGAATAGATGATAAAATATTTTCTTTAATTTTGCCAAATACAAATAGACTAGATATTGTAACTATAATTCTTGCTTGATAACTGTTTGTTATATGTAATTTTACTATGTTAAAGTTAAAGCCTTCCTTTTTGATTAGGTAGAAAAGAGGAAGTGCTGGGGGATATCTTTCTGTATGCTGTGAATATATATTGTTCCCATTGGTTGATAAATAAAGCTGCTTTGGCCTATGGCAAAGCAGCTTAGAGGCAGGCAAGAAATCCAAGCAGATATATGGACAGAAGAAAGAGACACCAGCCACTGCCAATAGAACAAGATGCCAGCAGACTGGTAATGTCACAGCCATGTGGCAACTTATAGATTAATAGAAATGGGTTAAGTTATAATAGCTAGCTAGGAAGAAGCCTGCCATACAGTTAGTAATTAGTATAAGCCTCTGAATGATTATTTTATAAGCAGCCACAGGACCACAGGGCCAGGTGGGACCAGAGAAACCTTCCAGCTACAGTGAAGCAGGAAATTTGAAGAACTGTCCTGCCTTGTGTTGGCAAAGTTCATCAGTTGCTTTTCTCTGGGTCCTGCAGAATATCTAGCAGACTTCTGTGAAGCAAGAATTTTGAAGAACTGTCCTGCCTTGTTTGGCAAAGTTCAACAGTCTTTTTCCTGTGTGTCCTGCAAGTCCAGTCTACACAGCACATTGTCAGCAGTCAAAGGCAAGAGCAGTTTCTTTGCCCAGTGGCTAACCTTGTCACAAGGAAAGCAAACCCCATAAGGAGTTTCTTCAATGTCCATCATTCTTTTTATGAAGTAAATTGGTGCTGCCAGGAGCAGATGTGTCTCAATATCATGAAAAACCTTAGGTTAACAAAACATTTAAATGCCATATTCTGTACATCTTGGAAGTGTTTGAAAACCATTTCTCTATATAAAATATATCTATTTAACCTAGAAAACATACCTAATGTGACTGCAAGTTTGATTATTATGGATTAACTACTAATCTCATTTCTTATTTATACATTGCATTTTTAAATGAACTGCATAAACACAATACCCCAAACAAGAGTAGAAACATATATATACAGTATAACAAAATTAACTTTAAATTTGTATCAATTTACCAAAATCCATGCCATGCAAAATATCTGAGATTAATAGTTGTCTTTTTATCCTATATTCCCCTAAATACAACAAATATCCATGACCAACAAATTAACCAAAAGCCTCTCCCACCCCTTTTGGGAATGTGGGTGCCGTGTTCTCCAAAGTGCTTCCTGTTGTCCGTGGATAAAGTATCTTTAAGGTCCCTGAGGAAATTTGAGATAATAATGGCCAAGTC